AATACTTTATTTCCAGCTCGTAGTTTCATTAAAAAAAAAAAGCTTCACTGGAGCATCCCGGTCAGAGGCAGGGTTTATATCTATAAACACTGAACTAAAGAAGCAGGTCAGATAATTATTTAATCAGCTCTGATTAAACAACAACTTCTGATTCGATGTGCAAAATGTAGCATCCATGCTAGCTCTGTAAACAAACAAGCCGGCTGATGAGACGTCACGTCTTTCACTGCGCATGCGTGTCACATCAGTGCTGTGGAGCGTTCACACAGGAGTCTGATGCAGGTCACATTTAAAATGTAATGTGAACGTTCACACAAAAAGATCGGATTCAAAAAAATCAGAACTGAGCATTAAGACCTGCAGTGTGAACGTAGCCTGTGACGACGTTAAAGCAGCTTATTTTCAGACACGAGGACTGTTCTGTCCAACTAAATTACTCAGTTACTAACAACTCAGGGACAGGAATTTATTTAATTTATTTTGTTGCATTTAACCAGAAATTTAAAGTTTACCGTTGATGTAAGAAACAAATTTCATGTTAAGTTAAAAAAAATTTATTTTATTTTTTTTGGAGGGGTCCCCCTCCTGGCGGGCCCCGCAGGCCTTGCACACACACACACATGTTTGTTCTTGAACCCTGTGGGGACCTTCCATTGACTTCCATTCATTTCTTTAAGACTTTATATCCTAACCCTGACCATATACTCTAAAACTAACCTAAACCTTGGTCCTAAACCTAACCCCACACCCTTAATTTGCATTTGGACCCGTGGGGACCGGGCATTGATCCCCACGATGCACTTCAGCGCCCACAAGGCTGCTTTTTTGGGAAAAAAAATTCCCCACATTGTAGGACAAACCCGTCCACACACACGCTGCATTTCTGAGGGAAAAATAATCTCTGAGCTTTAAACGTCTCCAACAATTTGATGGAAGATTCCAACGTTTTTTCTTGTTTCAGTGTGTCCTGAATTTTTTTTGACACAAACTGAGTCAAAAGTGTCAAAACAACTGATGCAGCTGTACGTGCACAGGTGTGTTGCAGTCATGAATCAAATCGCACCAGTTTGCTGACATGAACCCATTAAGGAGTGTTGAAAAACCCAGAGGACGGTGGAGCTCCTCCGCCCTCTAGTGGCAGAAACGAGAAGTGCAGCTTTAAAACTGTTAATAATCCACTGTTTAAAATGCAACTTAATGCAGCTTTAAAGGCTCCGTCACACCGTAACAATTGAGACAACTTGTGTCATTTTTTTAATGTCTGAATTTTTATTTCCACATGAGAAACAGCAAATAATCTGCTCAGTTAAAACTGAAAAATTTAACCCAATCACCTACAGGAAAGCTGATTGGAAACTAGGGCTGTGTATTGGCAAGAATTTGGCGATACGATACATATCATGACAGAGGGGTCACGATATGATATATCCTGATATATTGCGATTTTTTTTGTCCAAAAATTCTATTAAATAAAAACCTCTTACTGGGAAAAAAAGAAAAACCAAAATCCATTGTCTCAGAAAACTCTAATATTACAGACAAACTTTTGATACATTTAGCTGTGTTCTGCTTTTTGTGTGTTTTATTTTATTTGTTTCATATTTCTTATTTCATCCATGTTTTCAATTATTAAACTAAATTTGACAATAAATAGTTTGAAAATATTTTTTGCAGCTTTTAGTTTTTAATATTAATTTACACTAAGGTCACCCAACACTGAACCATAGCCTCTACCTCAGAGGTGCCCAAAGTGGGGCCCGCGGGCCAAATTTGGCCCACCAAGCCATTTGATTTGGCCCACCAGCAGTTATCCTGGTTACTAGATTGTAATCTCCTGTTTTATGTAGAAATACTATATTTGCACTTAGTGTTTTCAAACATTGGTCCAGATATAAGGAGCTGTAGTCAGATAGTCTTAACTTATGGTGCTCACTTTGTCTTTAAATTATGTTTAAATTAAACTTAAAATACAAGTGAGTTCAAGAGACATTTATATTAGATTTAAGTCCATATCTAGATTTGCACACCTAATAAGACCACATATACTCAAATTTTAAATTATAAAAAGTCCCATGAGCCTTTGCTGCCCTAGCATACGTTGAATTTTCTCCACATCCATGGGCTGAAAAAACAAACAAACAAACTAGGAAATGTGGGCAACCATACTGGCTGCTAGCTTAATTATAAAAAACACAACTTTACTTGAAGTATTTGCATTTCATGTATTATATTATTGCATTTGGCCCACAACCCTCAGATTGATTTTAATCTTGGCCCTCTCAGGGAAAATGTTTGGGCACCCCTGCTCTACCTCAAGAGGTAGAGGAGCCAAATGGCTGGCTCACTGCTGCCAACTAGTGGTCAGAGGCTGAACTACAACATAAAAATGAACAGCTGGCAAGAAAGTTGACATTTTAAACCTTAATAAAAAAATCGATACAGGGCTTTAGAATATCGATACAGTATCAGGAAATTAAATACTGCGATATTTCAGTGTATCGATATTTTCTTGCACCTCTATTGGTAACAGGATGATAGCGGGTGCAGAGCAAAACTCTGTTTGACTAAATGAGTTTTAACAGTACTGTAAACATTTTTAAACTTTTGAAAACAAAGTTAAAGTTCATAAAAAATGCTTTAATAAAACTGGAGTAAAAAAATAAATGTACACAAGTGGCTCAAAAACGTTACGCAAAAAGAGCATCGATGTGGAAAAAACACCTGAAGATTGTAACAACCCTGGGAAACAGTGATGTAAACTTTCCCTTTTCCTCAGAAGCAAGGAGAACTAACCAGCTGTGATGGAAGTTAAGTTTGTCAAATTGTAAGAAATACGTGTTCAATATCGACTGAAGTCAGATTAAAAACACAATAGTTAAATAAATTGATTTGCAAAAGGAATAAGGTCGTACGACACCAGAATTCTGGACCCGAGTGAGGTTTATTTGTCACTGGACTGACAAGCGAAACCACACTGACTCAAAAACAGGAAGTGCCTGTTTTTATACACAATTCTTCAATGCCTGAGTTCGCCCCCTGCTGGCCTACGGCTGAATCACAGGCATTCAGACAAAGACCTCACTCTAATGTTTCAAAACGCTTCACTTATGTGTTGTTTATGATTCGGACATGTATCTAGTTGTAAAGTAACTAAGTACAAATATAGGTTTTCTGGACGGGTTCTTCTCTAATGAAACGTTTCGTCTCTCCTCCAAGAGACGAAACGTTTCATTAGAGAAGAACCCGTCCAGAAAACCTATGCAATTTTTTTCTTTTTGATATCAACACAATTTAAAATTTGATGTGTAGCCTGAAGTCTGTAATTTTGACACAATTTGGAGCAGATTTCAATGAAGAACAAATCTTTCCCATTAAATCGGTCATGTGACCAGGACATAAGGGACTCCAGGGGATTAACTGTCAAATTAATCGTTATCGGCTAAACACATTAATTTTTTTGCCAATATTGCCCAACTCTACTCCCAATAAATGTCATTTTAAAAAATCTAACTGCTGACGTTTACTCAGTACTTTTACTTTTAATACTAAAGTAGATTTTGTGTCAGAAATTTACTTTTGATACTTAAGTACAAAAAATATCAGATACTTTAAGACTTTTACTTAGAGAAGACTTTAACTTTCACCAAAGTATTTTTATGATAAAATACTTGTACTTTTACTCAAGTATCACTTTGAGGTACTTTTATACAACACTGCACAAGTGATATCTAAGAGTGATTGATGTTAGCAGGTCTTATTCTGCTGTAATCGTTCTATCTGCTGATGAACAGCATGAATTACTGGCTCAAACCTAAAAGTATTAGTTCTGTTACAGGAGCTGTGGTGGGCCACGTTTGGCCCGCGGGCCTTCAGTTTGATGTGATCCATACCTGATGTTTCTGCTCTGTCCTCCTCCTGCAGATCCAGTCTGCTCAGCAGGGTCTGAACCTCAGAGGACCAGGACCACGACAGACCCGACAGGCGGGACGTGTCCTGTCCCAACAAAGTATCCCCATGTTGGAAGGGAAACGACAATCTCTTAACGCCGACCGGCGCAGACCCTCAGTGCCCCCCCCTGTGCTCCCCCCTGTTTGCTGTATATTTAAAAACAGCAGTTTTTCATCTCTTTGTACGACTTTATAGTCTTTTTGTGAAGGAAACACGACGACGTGTTTCGCCCTGACTCTCCTGTGTGACGTGTTGAACTCTAAAGTTAGCTGCTGGTCGGCTAACGCTAACACGCTAACACGCTCTGCTTCGAAACGCCAGCACCCCTCCGTACGGAGAAGCTCAGCCTGCTCACGGTTCACGTGTTTCGTTCCTTTTCTTCATGAGTTTGAAGCTTTGTGTTGTGACGTGTGTGGAAAACAATGCACTGGTTGTGTTAAAAATATGTATTTCTGTTGAAAGTTTTCAGATTTTTTTCTGAAGCAGCAAGTGACACTTATTTAAAATGTGTGCGACTGGCAGCTAGCGGTTAGCCTCAGCGCTAACCGTGGCTACGCTGCCCTCTGGTGGCCCCTGCAGGAACGACAGGACGTTGTTGTGTTTTAATGTGAAAGTTTCGCTTTAAACCTGGTTGTTTTATCTGTCGTATTAAATTCTGCTTCACATTTTGTTTTATTTATAAACTCTTCACGTTCTTTCATTATTTAATTTTGTACCAGGTACATAACAAGCTAAAGTATGAGCAGTTCTCAGATATTTGCTGAATTATTTTTTATATATAAGTTTGTATGAGACTTTTATTTTTCAAGGTGCCCTGTCAGAGGATGAAGTTCAATGTTGTGGACTGATTTCTGTTTTGCCTTGACTGTTTGTTTGTTTGTTTGTTTGTTTGGTGCAGAGTGATGTTTGTGTCTCACACCGTTTGTTTCTGACGTCCTTTCATGTCTTTGTTTGTATTTGTACGGAATAGAGAAGCAGTTTATAAAGGATTTAGTTGTTGTTATAAGAAAAGTTAATAAAAATGTTTTAAATGATCAAGTGGCTCCGGAGGATGATTGAGCTGTAACTGTGACACCAAACATCTGTCCAGCTGTGGACTGAGGTGGGCTGCAGCTGGGAAATAAAACATTAAAACATGTCACTAACAAACATTTTTCATTATTTAGATAATTTTCTGACTGTTAAATCTTAATTATAAAAGTTACATTTTGCTCATTTTGGGCCATTCAACTGGTGGCCTACGGGCCACATCCGGCCCGCGAGTGACCAAAGTTTGGCCCACGAATTGGTTCATTCGTCTTTAAGCCCAAACCTTCAGTTTTCTACTTTCATTAAGTTATTTTAAACACAGACATGTTTAGTTTTTACAGAAGTGTCAGAATCTTTGCTACAAGCTGCTAAAAACAATTCTATGAAAACAGTTAAAACTACAAGCAGCTGAAGATAAAACTATGAAAGTGAAAATAAAATTGGTTTAAAAATTTGGCAAGTCAGATGTTAAAAAATGTGTTATTTTTGTTTTTGTTTAATCATCACTATTGTAGAGTTCTGTATGTTGTATTAACCCTATAAAGCCCAACCCTTTAAAATAGTCAGAAAATTCATATTTTGTTTAGAACTGACATGTTTATTGGGCCTTTAAACAAAATCCAAAAACTTTTTTTGGCCACATCACTTTGTTTATGATAAATGTTTTGAATCAAATCTGATCCACTGGGCTGTTTTAGTAACATTTTGCTCACAACAAAGTTAAATTAAGAAACAAAAGACAGTTTTGCTGATAACTTTTAACACGTTCAGAACACTCTAGGACAGTGGTTTTCAAACTTTTTATCTTCTGACCAACAAAATATTCATGGCAAAAACTTGTGACTCCAAATATTACTGCTCTGAGTACACAAACTTTGTTAATAACCCTAAAAACACAGGCTTTTTGACTATTTAAACAGCTTGTACACAAATATAAATACTTATTTATACTTGTTTTGTGTTTTTGCAATAATTATAGGGAAAATATTACATCAGCAATTATTTTATTACCCTTTAAATTGATTTCTGGAGATTGTCCAAGGTGCTCCATGACCCATAATTGGGTCCCAAGCCCAACTTTGGGAACCAAAGTGCACTGGTTCCCAAACTTTTCAGCTTTTGACCCACAAAATAACAGTAGCAGAGACCTGTGCTCACAACTGTTTCTGGATGATAAACATTTGTATCAGGTCAACTAAACATGGGCATAGTAACAATATCTTTATACTACATTTATCCATTTTAAATACACTAACCTCACTCCTTTGTAACAAATAAGGCAAAAATGTAATTAATTCAGAAATGTTTTTTCAGGACCCCACCTTGATGTTTCGGGACCCCACTTTGGGTCCCGACCCCAACTTTGGGAAACACTGAAACACTGTTCTAGGAAGTTTAATTCTTTGTTTTTGTTTTTAAATTAAGTTTTTACAGCCATTTATTTCACTTGGTGGTCGGCACAAAAACCGTTTCTGTCCTTGTTCAGGCACAGATTTACGTTACACTTTATAAAATCACCATCTTTTATCATATTGGTGACATTTTCTTACTTTCTTTTTTCTTTCTTCTTCCTCAGTTTTCTTTGACATCTAATGTAAATAATTAGTCAGTACAGTGTAGAGATTATAATTTCAAAGGAACCACTTTGAAAATAACCAAAATATGTTTTCAAATGGCATTTCACTAATTAATCATCCAAAATAGTGTGTGTTGTGTTGTGGCAAGAATACTGTTGATTAAATTACTAAAATGTCACATGACAATTCAGGACTTATCTACCTGCAGCATCAAGTTTGATACACAAATTTTTAACACAGTTTAACTGTATTATTAAAAATATTTTAAGTACTTATGCATTGTTTCAACACAGAAAGTATTTATTAAAAAATTACAAACAATATTGATGTTATTCTTACCATAACTTCTCCAAAATTAGCAAAAGTTTTCCTGAAAAAAATGTGTGGCTGACATCATGTAGCAAACATTTGTATGGAAGCCCATTTCTGCCACCCTGGTGAAAAAAATAAAACTTGTATCTCATAATTATGAGATACTATCTCATATGAGATACTATCTCATAATTATGACTCAGATGTCTCAATTATGAGATACAAGTTTTATTTATTTTTATCAGGGTGGCAGAAATGGGCTTCCATAATTTTGAAAAGGCAAAAAAAAAAAAAAGTTGCACTTCCTGCAGTACATTGATAATCCACTAGAGGGCAGAATACAGGTCACATTTTACACAGTACAACAGGTTTTTGAGGAAAATATTGATCACATTGATAAAATACAGGTCACAGAATCCTGCGTAGCAAATCTGATACAAATAACGATATAGAATAGAGTAAAATAAATTATTTCAAAGATAACATGTCTTTGTAATACTTGGTTTATTTACATAATAACTTTAATTACTGGATGTTCGGCTCCTCAGCTGTTGACCTGCAGTAACTGTGGCACTCGAAGTTATTTATCTGAAGAGTCCTGCTATATGCTCAATTTTCCTGACTCTAAATGTAAAGGTTAAATCATAAAAGTTGTAACTAAATGAAGTTTACGTTTAAGAGTTCTGCAGTATTTTAACGGTGTGATGTTGAAAACTGAAAACTGAAAGTTGCTTTGATCCTCTGGTAGTTTGAGTTTCTACAAAAACACAACCTGGAAGATGAGACAGGTTTCAGCTCTGCAGCCTCAGAGGAGAATTATCTGAACTGTAATTTTATTCAGAGTAACGTTTGTTTGTTTGTTTATTTGTTTGTTTGTTTGTTAGCTGACTGAGAACCTGTCCTCAGATGCAGGTTCTGGTCGGGTCCCGCTGGACGTCAGTGACCTGGATTCGGTTGTTGTTGTGACCCCACGGCTGCAGATGGATCAGTTCTGGCCGTCTGCCACTCCTGCAGCAGCTCGTCACAGTCAGACGCTCTGAAAAAACCAATTAATCAATCTGCAGCTGTGAGGGGCTGCAAGGGGCTGCAAGGGGCTGTGAGCAGTGTGTCATCCAGAAGTTCAACTGCAGGATTGAACTTTACTGAAACTTGTCACTGAGCTTTGAACTGATCATGTGATTATTTTTCACTTGACCCAATGAGTTATTTATATAAAAATGTAATAATTTAAATATTTTTCCTCTTTAGCTGCAGATGTTGTGTCTGAGGCAACAGGTGCAGCTGAAAACACTCAGCTGTCAGTTTCTTTGCATTAGTGAGTCCCCTTACGTTTTATTTTTGTCTCTACTAATTAAAAACTTGTTAAACATCACAGATTGACAGACATGCTTATGGCAAGTTGATTTATCATATAATAACTAAGCCCTGTTTACTTAAAGCAGATATTCAAAAATGTTTTTTCTTCTCAGTCAAAAAGATTCAAAATGCCTTTTATCTTATCTGAATAGGAGGAAAATGAAAACCAGTGGTGAGTACAGTTACACTAATCCACTAATAGTGGAAGTAGCTTCTTATTTAGCAGATTAGCCTTTTTTTGTTGCTATTTTTATTTAGCAGAAATTGTTAGCAGATCGAAACTGTTAGCAGATCGATTAGCTTTTGCTAAGTCAACACACAAAGAAAACCACAAGTGTAAATCTTATATATTTTATGACATTTATCCTGAATTAAATCAAAACCATCTCCTCTTGGCATTTAGCATCTTTAGCAGCTAAACTTAAAACTAAGAGAATCTAAAAAAAAAAAAAAATTAACAATATTTAAATAACGAATACAAAAATACGCAGCGTAAAATATGGTAGAGAAAGTATTTACCATTTGTTTGACTAACTTCAAATGTTTTTTATAAAATACAAACGCGAATAAAGAAATGCTTTTGTTCTGAAAGGGTTAAACTGGAAGTATCACAAGTTAGATGTATTGGATTGGTCAATTTGCCACACATGACCCCGCCCACCTTCAAATCAAACCAATAGAAAACCAACGATAGGTTTGTGAGTTTTATTTGTTTAGCATTTGCGCAGCTACGATTGTTGTTGATTATTAGTTAGTGAAGGTAAGTTTTTTTTTCACCTGTGCCCACCACTGACTAAAACCCTTCTACCTGAAATGTTCTTTTTGACGAAGTTTGGGCAAGTGGGGGTCTCTGCGGACGAGTGGGCGTGTCCCAACAAAAGGCGATTCTAAAGCGACACGCCTGATTTGATGGACTTTTTTAAAGGGACACACCTGATTGGACAAGAACAAAAGGGGCGATACCAAATGGCACGACCTGATTGGACAAGAACAAAAGGGGCGTCACCGTACGGCACCACCTGATTGGACAAGAACAAAAGGGGCGTCACCGTACGGCACCACCTGATTGGACATGGACAAAAGGGGCGTTACTGTACAGCACCAGTTTTTCTGGAGACCCCTACTTGGGTCACACCTGGTTAACCTTTGTGTTGGGGTCAGGGTCAGGCTGTATAGAGGTCAAGCAGGATCTAAGGATACCATCATGTAGGCCTCGTAGCCCACAGCGTTTATGCTTTAGACACGCCCACTCTTGTGACACGCCCACTTTGATTCCGCAGATAACTCCTTCTCAGTTTGGGTGGCTGAGAGTCATCCCCACCTCAGCGTGGTGCTGTTTAAAGATCAATATTTAATTAATAAGGTGGCAGGTGATGTGCATTCCTTAAATAACTATCATTTTTTACTTTACATGTGTTTGATTTAACTTTAAATTAACAGGAAAGGCTCTGGTTGAGGTTGAAATGTGGGTTGATTAAATGCTACAACGGCCTGCCCTACACCTGTCGGACCACTGAGGGGAGAGAGCGCGAGGACAGGGATGCAGAGGCGCGAGAGGATGCGAGCCGAGCTGTAGCCCAGCGGACCGTCTGTCCCGATGTTCCGGTGTCCCGGCAGACTCTTCCCGCTCCTCCGCCGTCCTCCCAGCTCGTCTGAAGGCTCCGAAACCAGACCAGGTAAGAACCGGAACCCGGACCTGGACTGTCACCGTCGTCTCGTGGCACAGGAGGAGGAAGTTGCAGGTGCACGCGCTCCAATTAATGGTTCTAATTAACCAATTAGCGTTTTTAATGGTTTTACTGAAACAACAACTTCTTCTTTTTTGTGTTTTAAGTACAGTTTTTAGAAAGTAAAAGTAAAACTAAGAGTTTGTGTTTGTTTATTTGTGTTAAATCAGGATGAATGACAGCTTGTGTGTGTCTGAGGGGCGGAAGTGACAAACAACAACAACAGGATTGTTCTCGGAAATGTTTCCCATCATGTGGAGGAACACACGAGCCTAACGTGGCTTTAAAGCTGTTTTATTTTTATTTATTTCTTCAATAATGTTTGATAATCTGGCCGAGCAGCTGCTGTTTCCTGGTGCTGCTTCCCTGAGTGACTGTTCGTGTAATCCAACACTTCCTGCCTCCTGAATAATAAATAGAGAAGAAACTGACGATTATCAGCTGGATTTTCTGTTTCTGCTGCTTCAGCTGTTTTCATTAAAACCTCACTCCCAAACAGACCTTTATGTCCCAGATCTGACAGACTCAGACACTTATTTAATGTTTGCAGCCACCTTAAATCACATTAATCAGGTTAATAATTACTGTGAGAGTTTTCTTCAAATCCACTGAATCATGAGATATTTTGCTAACAGACAAACACAGGCGGTTATGAAAAGACATAAAAGTGCAAAACTTCTACATAATCACTGCAATTTATTTCTGATTTGTGTTTTTATTTTTGTTTTAGTGTTGATATGACAGAATTAACACAGGAAACAGTTTTTATTACAGATAATTATAAAAATTAATAAAGTAGTAGCTAATAAATGAATACGGTAAATATTATCTTTAAAATAGCATTTTCAGAAGGAAATAAAGGAGCTGAAACTGACTTGTTAAAGCTAAAAGAAGCAGAAAATGAGCTAAAATTTAAAAAAGGAAAACACTAAAAGTAACAAAAGGCTAGCTAAAAGTTAAATGTAACAAACATTAGTTTAAGGTTAAAGATAACACAGACTAGCTAAAAGTAGCAGATGTCTAGCTAAGACCTAAATGTAACAAAGTGTAGCTAAAAGCTAAATGTGACCAAATAAAAAGCTAAAATTAAAGACAACAGACTAGCTCGAAGCTAAATGTTATAAACATCAACACGTCATAAAGACTAGCTCAAAGCTAAAGATAGATGTTTAGCAAAAACATAAATGTAACAACGTGTAGCTAAAAGTTAAATGTGGCCAAATAAAAAGCTAAACACTGGAGACGGACTAGCTCAAAGCTATACATAACAAGCTAAAACCTAAATGTAACAAACATTAGGTTAAAGATAACAACTAGCTTAAACCTAATTTTAACCAAAAGCAGCTAAAATTAAAGACAACAGACTAGCTCAAAGCTACACATAAAAGGCTAGCTAAAAGCTAAATGTAACAAACATTAAAGGGTAAAAATAATAAAGACTAGCTAAAAACTAAAAGTAACAAAATATAGCTAAACACTACATATAACAAAACAGCTAAAATTAAAGACAACAGATTAGCTCAAAGCTAAATGTAATAAACATTAACACGTCAGAAAGACCAGCTCAAAGCTAAAGATAGATGTTTAGCTAAAACATAAATGTAACAAAGTGTAGCTAAAAGTTAAATGTGACCAAATAAAAAGCTAAACACTGGAGACAACAGACTAACTCAAAGCTATACATAACAAAAAGCTAGCTAAAAGCTAAATGTAACAAACAGGTTAAAGATAATAAAGACTAGCTAAAACCTAATTTTAACCAAAAACGGCTAAAATTAAAGACAACAGACTAGCTCAAAGCTACACATAACAAAAGGTTAGCTAAAAGTAACAAAGCTTAGCTAAAAGCTACATGTAACAAAACAGCTAAAATTAAAGACAACAGACTAGCTCAAAGCTAAATGTAATAAACATTAACACGTCAGAAAGACCAGCTCAAAACTAAATGTAATAAACATTAACACTTCAGAAAGACTCGCTCGAAGCTAAAGGTAATAGATGTCTAGCTAAAACGTAAATGTAACAAAGTGTAGCTAAAAGTTAAATGTGACCAAATAAAAAGCTAAACACTGGAGACAGACTAGCTCAAAGCTATACATAACAAAAAGCTAGCTAAAAGCTAAATGTAACAAAAAGGTTAAAGATAATAAAGACTAGCTAAAACATAATTTTAACCAAAAACGGCTAAAATTAAAGACAACAGACTAGCTCAAAGCTACACATAACAAAAGGCTAGCTAAGCTAAATGTAACAAACATTAAAGGGTAAAAATAATAAAGACTAGCTAAAAACTAAAAGTAACAAAGTGTAGCTAAAATCTACATATAACAAAATGGCTAAAATTAAGGACAACAGACTAACTCAATGCTAAATGTAATAAACATTAACTAAATTTAAACATAAGAACGACTAGCTAGCAGATATCTAGCTAAAACTTAAATCTAACAAAGTGTAGCTAAAAGCTAAATGTAACAAGATTAGCCAAAAACTAAAAGTAGCATTAGAAGACAGAAGCAGCTGATCTCAGAACAGTTTTAAAGGATTTGAAAAGATCTGTTTTTAACACAAACATATTTAGTAAAGTTAAATATTTTAGAAAAAGGAAGCAGAAGCAGTTGGACTGAAAATATAAAACTAATACTGTGAACAGTGACTCAGCATTCACTGAATGTGTTTAAAACTGTTCAGAGTGAAAGAAAAGAGAGAAACAAAATAAAAAAACATCATTCAATGTGTGACTTTAAATCTCTTGTCGTTCAGGTGAGATGGGGAACGGTTCGATGAAATCAAAGCGTTACAAACACTCCGACGGTTCAGCTCCAGCTTCCAACGGCCAGCTCCACAAAGACCACCGGGGTGGGTCCAAGAGGTCCTCGCTGGACTCCCTGAGGGTCCGAGTGGAGGAGCTGGAGCGAGAAGTGAAGAGGAAGGACGAGGAGCTGGGCGCCAAAGAGCAGCAGATCAAAGGTCTCCAGGACCACGTGGCCAAACAGACCCGGGTCCTGTCGGAGCTGAGCGAGGAGCTGCAGAACAAGTGCATCCAGCTAAACAAGCTGCAGGACGTGGTGAAGAGCGGGGGCCCCGCAGGGCTCCCGTCTCGGCCCCCTTCTGTTAAAGCCAGCAGCAGGAGCAGCCCAAATCTCAGCGTCCGAATCAAAGAGAGCCTGAACAGGAGGAGAGGAGCTAAAGCCGGGGTATCAGCCGAACCCACGTCCAGCAGCCTTCCGAAGTTCTCTTTTGAGAAGGCTCGGGTACCGAAGGACGCAAGGTGAGAGATGACAAACCAGGGCCGACAGAAACCAGACGAAGGTCTGAGACGCCCTCAGGCTCAGCCCAGGCTGACTCTGTGGGGGGTGGGGGGTAAAACTGTAAGAGCCCTCATGTGAAACTGAACCTCTCCTGTTACTGCTCTGATTCATGGCAGCTCTGTTACACCATGTCCTGCCTCAACAAGAGGTTATAGGATTAAGGAAGTAAGTTGATCTTAAAATGTTTTCTCAGGGGCTCCAGAGGAAGCAAACCAAGAAGAAAAAAAAACTGCTGCTAAATGCTAAACGCTACTCTGATTGGTATATAATTAAAATATATATTCATAGTACAAAGCACCCGAAAGAAGCTAAAATCATCCTGGTTTTATAGCCACACTACCCTGCTGGGAGCGAACACTGACCCTGTTAATCCTGATGTTTACAACTAATAATCCCAGTTCAGATTATATAAACAGATGTAATGTAGGCTATATGATGCAGCCCCGACTGAAAACAACATTCAGCTGAACGACAGCTGCAGAGGTGACAGGACGAACAGGGTGGAAACATATGACTATCTGATGCTCTGCATTTACTAAATGAGCTAAAGCATGAGCTAAAACTTAAAGATGGCGAAGACTAGCTAAAAACTACACTTAACAAAACATTCGCTAAAAGTTAAAGCTGAGTACTTTCTAAAAATTAAATATAACAAAACATGAGCCAAAACTTAAAGATAACAGACTAGCTAAAAGCTACATGTTGCAAAACATGAGCTAAAACTTAAAGCTGAAGACTTTCTAAATGCTAAATGTAACAAACCATGAGCTAAAACTTAAAGATAACAGACTAGCTAAAAGCTACATGTTGCAAAAAATGAGCTAAAACTTAAAGTTGAAGACTTTCTAAATGCTAAATGTAACTAAAAATTTGGCTTAAAGATAAAGTCTAGCTAAAATTACATGTAACAAAACATTAGCAAAATGCTAAAGATTAACTGGAAGCTATATGTAACAAAATATTAGGTAAATGTTAGACATAAATACTAGCTAAAAGTAGCAAATTCCAGCTGAAGGCTAAATGCAACAAAACATTGGCTAAAAGTAAAGGATAAGAAAGACTAGCTACAAGCTAAATGTAACAAACATTAGTGTAAAGTTAAAGAAAGACTAGCTAGAAGTAGCAAAAATCTAGCTAAAAACTAAATGTAACAAAACATTAGCTAAAATCTAATTGTAACAAAACATTAGCTAAAAGTTATGGATAACAAAGATTAGCTAAAAGCTAATCATAACAAAAGTATGGGTAAAAGCCAGTTGTAACAAAATATTAGCTAAGAGCTAAATGTGACAAAAATCTATCTAAAAGCTAAATGTTACAAAACATTGGCCAAAAGTTAAGGCTAACAATGGTTAGCTAAAAGCTAAAGGTTATAAAACATAAGCTAAAAATTAAGGCAAACAATGATTAGCTAAAAGCTAAATGTAACAAAATTCTATCAGCCTCACAGCACTAGCATCAAAGAAAGCCTGAACAGAAGGAGTTTAGATTCGCTGCGTTTATGAAGCACCAAAGTGAAAATTTCTGTCCCACCATAAGATGGATTAACGGACCACCCAATACAGACGCCCCCTGCCTCGTGATCTTTAAAACGCGTCTCTTAACCTTTTCAGTTTACAGCTCCCCAAAGGAAGTGATGTCTTCTTTATGTAGCTGCAGCTGTTCAAATATGCATCTGTGAACTTTGACAGCTCATGATGATTTTTTGTTTTCACTGTTTTGTTTGATTCACTGTCAGAAAGGAGCTGCAAAAAATCATCAAGTCTCTGGAGATGAAATATTTATCATACAGGCCAAAAAAACTAATGAGTAATGATGTGGGAGTTGTGGTGGCTCAGCAGTGCATCAGTGTAGCCGGAGGTTGAGTGTGATGGTCTGCTCCTATCTAACATCTTGTTTTTCTGCTGCAGCTGTGGAAGCAGACATCTTGTTGATCTGAGACACCTGGACCTGGGGTCTCCCCTGTTAACACTCCACTTTATTTTACTTTTGGGCAGCTCTGGTCCCTGTATGTTCTCATTCATGCATTATAACATTATTCACACAACACATTCACTACTGATTTTACTGATTACCACATTATGTAATTTAATTTATTTTTGCATATTTAAGTTATTACATCATAAAAACACTTCTTTTCTGCATCTTTACCAGTTTTTATCATAAATTTTGAGTCAGTTTGTGACAAACAGAGGAGTTCCTGGGGTCATATCCCGGACGAGCCCCCAATTGTGTCATGACCTGACTAATAAGCTGATGAATTATGACTATACTTGGCACAACATGTTGGTAATATAGTGTTTGATAGATAATTTATTTGTTGTAACAAAGCTTTGAGCACGATTGGCAGCACCTGGGGGTACCAGAAGCAGAATAAGTGTCACTAGTAACAGCAAAATAAGCTGTTTGGCAAAGAAAATTTGGCAAATTTTTCATGTTTGCAACCTACATGCTCAGCTCTACTGCTCATCCCACAAATGCATGTTCCTTACAAATGTGGCACTGTTTAAAAGGGTTTGTATAATTTATTGCCAAGAAGCCTTGTTGCTACAAAGAAACACAAAGTGTAAAATGACATGTTGAAAAATGTCGCTAACATAGTTTTCATTATTTAGCTCACTTTGTGTGTTAAAAAATTTCCACTTTTTATTATTTAGCTTACTGTTCTTACATTCAGCTAGTTTTTACTAAATGTTAAATTTAAATGCTAAAATATATATTTAAATATTAAATCCTAAATCTAAATGTAAAAGTTAAACCTTAAATGTTAAAGTTCACATTTAGGTATTTTGGAAACGCAGCCTTTGCTGTTGGTGCTTGGCTCATGTTATGACATCATCATCCTGAGACAATAGCAACCGCTAGTGCTCCGATGCAGCTAAAGCTTCACTAAAAGACATCAAACCTGCAGTTCTTGCTGGTGTCTGAGCTACACTTCAAACTGCTGGCCCACAGGGAACACCCATATTGTTTTTATGAACACATTTTGAATTTAGATTTTAAATATTATCTTCAGTAGCATTAGCTACTAGCGTGGCTAGCAGTGGCCATTGTTTGTCGCAGGTTGATTACATCATCCTTGGTTATCTGATGCTGACTTTTAATGCTTCTAACGTTGTTAAAGATAATATTTAAAATATAAGCTTTAGCTCATTGGAGCGCTAGCACTTGCTATTGTCTCAGGATGATGACATCACAACATGAGCCAAGCACCAACGGCAAAGGCTGCCTTCCATTCCAAAATAACTAAATATGAACTTCAACATTTAAGGTTTAACTTTTACATTTAGATTTAAACATTTAGATGTAGGATTTAATATTTAAATATATTTTTAACATTTAAATTTATCATTTAGTAAAAATTTGCTAAATGTGAACAGTGAACTAAAAAATGAAAAACATATTGATGAAATATTTTAACATTTTATTTTACACTTGGCGCCCCTTAGAAATAATCTACCAAACACAAATTTCCTTTCTTTCTGTGCTAAGTTTAGCTCATTTATATGTTATTAAAATGCCAAACATTGTTTCTGTTTAAATTTTTCACTTCTTATCTAAAGGGTTTGAGTTGATCCTTCGGATGTGGAAACAGCCGGGTCAGAGTGTGTAACGCTTCCTGTGTTTCTGATGTGCTGCAGCGTAAAGAAGCTCCTGACAGACGCTTTGAACAAGAACCAGTACCTGAAGAGGCTGGAGCAGCAGCAGATCAAAGACATGGTGGAGTGCATGTACGAGCGCACGTACCAGCAGGGAGAATACGTCATTCAGCAAGGAGAGCCGGGGAACCACCTGTTCATCCTGGCTGGTAAGGTTCACCTTCGTCTCAGCTTCTTATTCTGGAAGTGAAAACATTTTTAGACAAATCTAAGACAATAAATTTAAACATCCTCTTCATTGAGACGATGTCGTTTGAAACACAGACTATTTTAAAGCAAGTTGTTGTATTTTGTGGGCACTCTTTGGCCTCACTGGACGCCTCTCTGACAACGAGCCAATCAAATCACAGCAGCGCTGCAGAAACCGGGCTTTCAGTTGCAGCCGTACACAGATTCACGGGATGTGAATATCTGCAGAGCTTTTTTTTTTGTTTTGAAAGCTTAGCTGGACTTTATTTGAAAAATGTAGATTATAATTATTTTGGTGGTTGAAGCTTATTTTTGGCAGATGGAAGCAGGACACATTCTTGTGGTTTACCAGTTTCTTGGCAGGAGAGAGGGAAGTTAAATCTGAACCGTAAGTCTTCGTGTCATGAAGGATACGAAAACTGATTATAATTTTGCTTTTTCATTTGCTCATGAATAAGTCATTTAAATACCAGTTGCTCCACAAACCTTACAGAAACCAGAGAAGAGTTTTTAAATGTCCATGAGTTCTGGTTTGTCCACAATCGGTGTTATAGCTGGAGAAAATTCAGTGTGTGCTCTGTCACAGGTGTCCAAACTTTTTTTTATTTTATTTTTTACAAAAGTTAGAAAATACAAAATATTTGTTTTTAAAAGTTTGTGGGATGAAGTTAAATCAAAATACAGAAAGTCTACTCCAAAGTCACTATCAGATTAAAAATTTAATCTGTCACATGCATTTTTTTAAAAATTGTGAATATGTAAGAAAACCGCTCATGGTTGATGATTATTTTTATAATGAGGCTTTGAAAAACAAAACGTCAGGAGATTGTTGGGCTGTAAAAGTAAGAAGTACAAAAATAAAATGGCCGGAGGAGCATCATGCAACAAGTTAGAGTAATTGGCAACAGGTCAGTTAAAGGACTGGGGATTAAAAGAGATTATTAGAGAGGCTGAATCTCTCAGGAGTAAACATGGACTGAGGTTCACCAGTATGAAAAATTGTGTCTTAACAATTTCAGAATAAAATTCCTCCACAGTCTTTGAATCTCCAACTCATAATCTGACCGTTCGCTGGAGGAGAGTTTGTTGTAGTCGACGTCTCGGGTGACATTTTCTGGCTTTCCTTGAACTCCAATTTACGACAGTGTTTCAGGTGTTTCAACAAGTTTGTAGCATTTGTGTTAGCTCCGTGTTAGTTTCAGGTTCTCATTCATGTTAGCTCAATGCTAGTTTCAATTCTGCATTAATGTTAGCACCACATTTGTGTTTGCTCCGCTTTAGTGTTAAGTACACGTTAATCTTAGCTAAATTTTAGCACTAGCATTAACTCTGCATTAATGTTAGCTCCCTGTTGGTGTTAGCTCTGTATTAGTGATATCATTAGCTTCACATTAGTGTTAGCTCTGTGTTATAGCATTAGCTTCACATTAGTGTTAGCTCCCTGTTAGTGTTAGCTCTGTATTAGTGATAGCATTAGCTTCACATTAGTGTTAGCTCCATGTTAGTGTTGGCTCCACATAAGTTTTAAATCCACGTTGTTAGCTCTGCGTTAGTGTTAGTTCTGTATTAGTGATAGCATTAGCTTCACATTAGTGTTAGCTCTGTATTATAGCATTAGCTTCACATTAGTGTTAGCTCTGTATTATAGCATTAGCTTCACATTAGTGTTAGCTCTGTATTATAGCATTAGCTTCACATTTGTGTTAGCTCTATGTTAGTGTTAGCTCTGTATTATAGCATTAGCTTCACATTAGTGTTAGCTCCATGTTAGTGTTAGCTCAACACTAGTTTTAGCTCTGCTGTAGTCTGAGCTCTATCTTGGTGTTAGCGTTAGCCCCGTGTTAGTCATTAGTATTAACACCACATTGGTGTTTACACCACTTCAGTATTTGCATTAGCTCCATGTTAGTGTTAGCATTAATGCCACATCACTGGTCCATGTTAGCGTTAGCATTAGCTCTGTGTTAGCTCCACACCACACTGACTTATCTAAGTCACAAATCACAGTAATTGCAAAGTGCCAAATATTAATCTGTGACAGTTTTTCTGATGATTAATTGCACATGATATGATTTTGCCCAACCCTAGTGCTCAAACAGATCCAAATGCAAAATTTATTTTGGAAGCCATGAACACCAGTCATCCATTTTAAAAAGCAGAGCATCCAACGTGTTCTCAGCTCACAAACCTGCCTCTTTGTGTTTGAATTATTCTTATATTTTCAGAGGGGAAGCTGGATGTGTTTCAACAAAGCAAACTGCTCACATCGATAGCAGTGTGGACCACGTTTGGAGAATTAGCCATCCTGTACAACTGCACACGGACAGCATCGGTGCGAGGTAAACCATGTTTTTAAACTCTTACAGCAAAAACTGAAAGTCCTATTTGTATTGATGTGTTTTTCCCCTTATATAACCTCAGACTGACGCGATGAGCATCGAACACATGAACCACTCAGAGGATTGAGCTTGTGACAGACATAATCAAATATTGTTTATTAGCAGTCTGCTTCAGTGTCCTGTTTGTCCCAGCTCTGGTCCCGGACCAGGTTGCAGTCTGTGTCCCAGTTTGAATGTTTACCGTTGGACACGTGTTGAATGGTACAAGCTGACCTCATGACTGGTTGACTTTATTCCTCACAGTCATAACCTCTCAATGCCTTTAAATAATATCTGAATATGCTTGACCAAAGGTCCGTTAGTTAACATGAGGTCAGGTGTCCAGGTTTGGTTTAGATCCATCTTCTCTGACCTTCATCTCTGACCTCTTTCAGCACTGATGGTGAGAAATGAAGAATTTAGATGTCATCAAAATCTTTAGTTGCTCGCCACAGTTGGTATTCTGATTGGTTCCAAGGCTTTTGGAACGTAGATAATGTTCTGTGTGAGCTCTTTGTTTGGATTGATGTGTTTAACCAAGTAAATAACCGTTTTATTGACCCAAAAAGTGCCTGTGACATCAAATTTTTGTGATAAATGTGAATGCTTTTTTGGAAAGAGAACAATGATAACATATTGCAAAAAAGATTTCACTCTGTTGAGATGAACAGTTGTTGAGATATTTGCATGTTCAGTAACAGGAAGTGATGTCAAAGGGGAGTGTCTGCATGTAAACAGAGTGATGCTACAATAATTAGAAAAGAATCAGATGTTTCTTTAGATTATTAAATCACTATCAGAGTTGAATAAGAGTTTGTTTCAATAAACAAAGACCAGAGTTTATTTTCTTAAAGAGTTCCCCTTTGATGTCACTTCCTGTTTCACTTTGCTGAGCCAAATTCAAATGAAAATATGCCAGATATGAGACAAAATGGGTAAAATTGTGTGTATTATGCTAATTTTCTTAAATATAAATATGTTTTCTTTGACCTTTTTGTATTTGAAGTATAAGCATGTCATAGGAACTTTAAGCTTCCTGTGACATGCGTGTCCGTAAAATACAAAATGTCAAAGAAAACATTCATATTTAAGAAACTTGGCATAATACACACAATTTTACCTGTTACGTATGTCACATAACTGACACATTTTCATTTGAACTTGGCTCAGCTAAAGTGAAACAGGAAGTGACATCAAAGGGGAACACTTTGAGAAAATAAACTCTGGTCTTTGTTTATTGAAACAATATTATTTGAACTGTGACTCTTTCTCTTCTTTCTGTAGTGAATAAAAAATTGTAAAGAAACATCAGATTCTTCTCTACAGTCTGAGTTGTTGGCCGTAGTAGCAAAGTTCTGTTCCCATTCAGACATTCCCCTTTGACATCACTTCCTGTTACTGAACATGCAAATATCTCAACAATTGTCCATCTTAGCAGCATGAAATCTTTTTTGCAATCTTTTATCAATGTTATCTTTCCAAAAATACATTCATATTTATTACCAAAATTTGATGTCACAGGCACTTTAAATAAGTTAAACCAGCATTGACCATAAACTACATCTCCCATGAAGCGTGTTGACTAGTATTTTTCAGTGTTCATAAGAGGAGGTGCTAAAACACTGTTTCTATGCAGGAAATACCAGGTAGAGCTCAGTTATTGTTTGTTAGCGGTTCTCAGTTGTAGCATTGAGACAAGGATTGTGTTTAGTCAAAGTTACAACATTAAACATTAAAGTTAATTACAATGGACCCTTTGAGGGCCACCATAACACTCATGTGGCCTCTAGTGAGAATGAGTTTGACCTCCTCGGTCAAAACTCTTGGATCGAAAAAATAAAAAATACTGTACATTTTTTGTTGTAGTTTCACTGAATTCTGAATGTTTGCAACCAGTGAGCTGTGCATCACTTTATTTAGAAAATCACTGCTTTTTTCTTTTGCACAGCTTGCAGAATTGTCTAAATTTAGCATATTTGATTTGATTTATTGATTTAACAGGAAAAGATTACTAAAAATCAAGCCTGACTCAGCATAATTGCTGTTTTACAGCAGGTTCCTGTTCTGCAGCACATAAAACACTCAGAATTACAGCATCACAATCACATCATTATACACCATAGACACAAAGACAAACAAGCATACCAAATTTCAGGAAGGCAGCATTTGCAAAATAGGACGTCTAAATATGAGCACAACAAAAAGTGTCCAGCAGATGGCAGACAAGATTCTTCTTAAAGGTCTGTGGTTTTGAAATGGACTTTATGTTTTGAGGAATGTCATTCCATGCTTTAGTACAAACATAGAAGAAAGACCTCTGGCCGTAACAGTTTTTAAAAGTTGGTAATATCAGTTGTCCTTTTGTAACAGATCTAGTTGAATGACCACTTCCAGAATTTGATTTGGGCAACAATGCACAGAGAGTTCCATAATTGGCACCTTGGAAGATCTGAAAATACAAATTAATACCACTATACAAAACACAATTCTGAAAAGTCAAGGCATCAGACAATGAAAGAAGTTCGAAATTACTACCCAATCAGGTGAGGTTCTGAAGCCAGTCAGTAGCTTGCTGTTCTTTTCTTCGCTGAATGGCGCACACTTCAAGGCTTGAATAACATGGTTCCCACCATGTCGGATATTTGGACTTTATTTATTTATCTATCTATCTATCTATTTATCTATTTATTTTTGTTTGAATAGCATCCAGCTGCTTTTGTGTTTTTTTTAAAAATTTTTTATAATATTGTGTGGGCTGGGTCAGGGACTACAGGTGGAAACTAGCACCCGGAGCTATAACCTGATAAAGTGCATCTTTCCTTCCATAGTCCCTGTTTTTGAAAATAATAAGGTTAATAAAAAAGGGACCTGCAGCTGTGATGATTTGTGTGTTTTTCACGCCTGCGTTTCCAGCCGTGAACAAAGTGAGAACATGGGCTTTGGACCGGGAGGTCTTCCAGAACATCATGAGGAGGACGGCCGAGACGCGACACGAGCAGTACCGCAACTTCCTCCGAAGGTGAGGCCCGAGTCTTAGCCGCTAAGTTAGCATCTCCTGATTCTTTATAAACCCTGTGACGTTAAAACCTCCGTAAGAAAACAATTAATTTATCCTTTTTGGGGCAAATCTGAGTGGATGTGGAGGAAGTATTTTTATTTTTATTAAAAATATATAATTGCTAAATTCATTGCTGTTCTGAATTGTTGTAGAAAAGGTCACTAAATTAATAATACAATATGGCATAGACAGGAAAACTTCTCAGAATATCAACAAATTAAATCTATGATTAAATGTAAATTTAAACATAATAAAACATTATTAGAGACACCAGCAAGTATATTGGAATTTCTTAATCTTAAATCACCCAAATTGCTATCTAAAATCTACAATAAACTATCTAGAATAGACGACTCAATATCAGTACCTGTTGCTAAATGGGAAACGGACTTACCAGTCAACTTTGACCAAAACACCTGGTCTAAAATATGCTTGGAAACATTTAAAATAACTAGAAATTCTAATCTACAATTAATGCAATATAAAGTCCTCTATAGAGCACATTATACAGGCCAGCGAATGTTCAAGAGGGGTTTTACTTCATCTAATAACTGCTCCCATTGTACAGGCAATGTGCCAGACAATTATATCCATGCACTCTGGCTCTGTCCGCCTGTCCAGAGGTTTTGGGTCCGAGTATGTGAAGATTTGTCGAAGTGTTTGAATTGTTGTATTCCACCCTCTCCGTCTGTTTGCTTATTGGCTGTTTTAGGTGATGTCACTATAGAGAAAAACACTTCTCATTTGATTTCCACTGCCTAATGCATCGCAAAGAAAACCATACTCTTAAATTGGAAAAATAAAAATGATCTTAGCATTAATCAGTATAGAAATCTTCTGTTAGATCATTA